GAACTTACTAACTTTGTTTCCATAAAAAATGAAAATGATTGACAAAAAAATAGCATTTTGACATACCCATGCGCACAAGTAATTGACGCTCATCATTTTTCTTGAATCTTCCATGATAGTTTGCTGCAATGTGTTGGATACAGTACTGATGTTGGACATAGGGTGGTTGCCACATTAGACCCAAAGACTCCATTGCTGCTTTGATCCCAGCTCCGCGATCTGAAATAACACATATTTTTCCCTCGTGATAACATGTAAACATAAGTTTATGAGGAAAAAAGCTCAAGAATATGTATCTTCTCCTTTAACAAGGGCAAAAGCAACTGGAATTATGTTGTGATTACCATATTGGACAACTATCAATAGTAAAACTTGATTGTATTTTCCATACAAGAATGTTCCGTCGATTTGGATCACAAGCTTGCATTGTTTCACAATATTAATGCACTGTGGGTAAGTCCAAAAAAGCCGGTAAAATTGGCATCGATCATGAAGCACTCGATTATTTTGGTATGCATGGCAAGTTTTGAAGTCCATAAACTCCCAGGATTCAATATGCGCACCACCCTAAACCAACTTGGTAGTTCATTGTAAGATGCATCTCATTCGCCGTGAAGTATTTTAATGGCATTCTGCTTTTCCTTCCATGCTTTTCTGTATGATACGGTATACCTATACTGCGATTGTATAGCTGAAATCAACACAACAATAGCTATATGAGAGTTTGCTTTTACAATGGGCATGATGGCTTGGTAGATCATGTCAGAGTGCAAGTTCGGATGATCCTGGTTGATCCCTCTAGCACAACATGTGTAAGGATTATTGTATATTTTTAGTTCCCATATATTGCTTTTCCTCTTCCTCTTCAATACGCGAACCATCCAATTGCATCCGTTATCACATTAGACACAGTGATAGACATACTTTTCGATGGTAGAGCAATAGACTCTCGGCTGAACAAAATTAAGAATATTGTAATTCTTAATTACCATCATCATTTCTTCTTTGCTTGAAAACTCTATTCCTTTATATAACTCACCATCATTGACTGATGAGTTAAATCCATAGTCATCGACATTAGGCATATCCGTAAATTTTGGTATATACATTGCACCATAGTCAGTTTCATACATATGTGATGGAGGTTCAGTGTGTACCGTATTTGTAGGAACTTAATCTACATCATCATCATCGGAGTCTATGTTGAACTGCAGTGATTTTGGGTGAACAAATAGTTCAGTCTCAGCACCATCTGCACCTGACTCACGAAGAGGTTCTTCTGGTGGAGATGAGGATTCCTCCACGTTGTTGACATTTAGGTCTAACAAGCTGGTAGTTTCATGCCTTCCCATTAAACTTGAAGGCATCTCGACATTGAGGTCAAAGAAACTCGCAGTTGAATGTCTCCCCCTGGAGCTTGAAGGAATCGTGTTAAATGGGTACTGCAGTGATTGTTGCGTAGAGGGCATCTCCATATTCAGGTAAAAGAAATTGGCAGATGAATGCCTTCCCTTGAACTAGATGCGATGTTGTCATACGTATTGTTTGTGGACCCACCTCGGTATAGATCGTAAGAAGTTGCTGATGAATGTCTCCCCATTGAACTTAATGGGATGGCACCATGATGCAGATTTCCCATTATGGCTTTAAAATCATTACACATTACTATAGTTGGGCTGTCAACTTGATCAACTTGTTGATCCAACCTATAGTGGGAGCATAATGACATTCCACGAACAACACGCACTTCAACAAATTTCGCATACATCTCCGTATTTACATCTGAATAATGATTTTGAGAATCAACCATCATTGCAACATCGTCATCGTTCGATAGCTCGAAAATTGTATAAGTTAACGAAAACACCGATATTGGAAATCTGTGCCGAAGCGAAGATCATCTTCTAGTACTTCCAACATGAATCTTCCTTGAAATCTTCTTTATCAACTCCTCAAGAGTTATGTTTCTCTTGAAGGATATTTTGACAGAATGATTTGATATGAGCACGACGCCGGTTTCATCTTCCTGAATTTCTCCATCATAGTAAACAATTGCTGAAATATGTGTCATTCTGAGAATTTGAAAGATTGAGAGTCTTATATCTACAAAAAAAATAGCTAAAATATACCTAATTAAATAAATAGTATATGAATTGAAATAAAAACTAATAAAAAATTTAAAAATAATTTAAATAATATAATTTTATATTATTACCGTATCGAAAAAAATGTCTCGACGTATGATCCCACTTTCTAATTTTACAACCACAAAAAATAATATAAAATAATTAGTACAATAATTTTTTTTCTTTCAAATAATCATATATAAAATAAATATAATATATTAAAAAAATTACCTTACACCAAAATATCGAAGGAACTGGTGAAGCAAATATAGGAGGAATTGATGTGATGATGCTTACGGTTGAGAATTTGTTATTTATAGGCGAGGGGAGAGTTTAAAGGTCGAAAAATTCGGAACTAATAATGAAAGGCGCGTGTCAGAACCCCAGAAAGGCGCGGATAATGATTCGCGCCTTACCCTTACGTGGCGCCAGCTCGGATAAGGCGTGGATGGTCATCCATGCCATTCTGCAAAGAGTGATATATAGTAAAATTTTTTGAAACGGTGTCTAACAAGTAATTATCTCTTGTCAGGGTGATTTTTGAATAAAAACGCTCGCTTTCAATCTCAAATCACATTTCATTCTTTATTGGGTAAACTATAAAAAATAATCATTATTGTTTGAGTACATTTTTATTTTTCCTACTGAAATTTCAAAAATAAAAAATTAATCACTAATATCAATTTTTTAAAAGATAATAAAACCTCGTTAAAAACCCTCGCATAATTTAACCAAGCCAAAAATTAACCGAGAAGGGGAAAAGAATATCCAAAACAGAAATTAAGAAATGCCAAAAGGTAATAACAACATACAATATCCGATACAAAAATTCACCAAACGACAACTCTAACTTAGTCCAACAAACAGATAAACCAAACTAAAATAAAAACCAACAGAAGCCAACCACACCCCAAATAACAGCTCAGAGAACATGGAAAATAACGAGCCACTAGATTGCAGTGCCTCAAAGCAATAAACAAAACCAATACCAATCCTGTAGAGTCCCAATTACGCTGTCAGCGAAATACAATCCATATTCTTGGATCCATATAATCTGATCAATCACTTAGTAACCAACACCCCCATAAAGCACCATCAAGAACAGAATATTATTGTGACGTGTGAAACCAATTGACTAAACATCCTTTGACCCCCTCTCTCTTCTAATTTTTTTTGTTTCATTTATTTTCCAACAATCAAGTTGTGATGGGTGTATATGACACCATTTGATTAGTAAATTAAATTTAGGATAAACTACGTAAATAAGCATTGATGTTTAAGTAAGTTTATGTTTCCTCCGTATGTTTCAAAAGGAACAATTTAGTTACCGATGTGATCAATTTATAATAAATTAATTACTCGTCGTTAACAATAATTATTAAGGATAACAAAATATTGATGTGACGTGTAAAACTAACTGACCTAGTACCTTTTGACCTTGCGAGATAGACATGTTGACCGGCCGTTTAACTCACCTCTTTAAAGAGGACCCCGATCCCTTTTTCCAAAATTGTTTGTTATGATATGATGAATACCGGGAGTGCTGATGAATGAGAAACCAGTCACACGTGAATCAAACCAAATATGTTTCATTTCTCTGAAGTTTGGTTTAATACAAAGATTACTGTCAAGTTTACGGTTTTTTTTTTGTTCCACTTCTGCAGTCTGCATCTCTCGTGATTGGCATCAGTGATCTTTATTCTGTGTGTTTAGATGGAAAGTTTGTACTTCCAGATTGATGGAAATCTCGTTAACATTGGTCTCGGTTTTTCTATTTTGATTACAGTCCTAAACGTTTAATACCCTCTTTATGATCAATGATAAACATACTAAACGTGACAAATTCAATAATCTGTTCCAGGGGAATTTAGTAACAGGCTATCATCCGTGACCGGCTCATTGTGTATAAAAAAATTCAGGAAAATTTAAGGTGGGACAAAAGGATAAATTGAAATAAGAGGAATCAAATTATCCACCTGGAATTAAGTAAATAATAATCATGAAAGAAATTCAGGGTTTCGCATATTGTTAACAAGGTCTCCAAACACCTTATCTTTTGGTTGTGAAGATTTGCAGGGTGGAACATAAGAGGAGCTTGAAACCTAGTATGGGGAGTTTATTAAGCCATTGTCATCTCTAACGGATAGTCCATGCATTTGCTGATCAAGATACTGCTGCTGGCCATACACTTTGTTGAACTTGTTGGCTTGTAAGGAACCATTTGATCACCTGTAATTTGATGTGGAACCATGCCCATGTACTAGGGTCTTTGGCTTTGTTGGGGGATGAAAACTAGCAAACTGGTTTCCCTGCATGGCCCGATTTTTATTAATTGTGGAGAAATGACCGGTTGTGAATGTACGTGCTTACCATTGGTTGGGGTACAAGCACCTGAAATTGTGCTACAGTCTGCTGGTTGGTGGTGGAGGTAGTGCTAGTACGACGTGGAAAAAAATAAGTTTCATTGGTTTTAGTGTAGTAGTTGCATATCAAGAATAAAAACTATTCAGTCTGCCAAAGAGGTCTAGAACATAACTACTTGAATTTACCTTTTTCTTTAATGTGTTTGAAGCATTTGCGAAGTTAAAAGTGGTGGATTAGATGGTTGGAAAGGACTATGGCTCTGCCACTTGAGTGACGGGGACCCAGTAAAGAAATTAGGCGCATTGATAATTTATAGGATGAAGCGTTTTCATATTTCCACGTTTCACCACAGTCAAAAACACCACGAATTCACTCTTGGTAATGGCGCACCAATCCATAACACTTTGCCTTAACAATCATAATCTTCACCATCGAAGCTTCTTGATTTATAAAGAAACAGTATGTTTAGACACTTTGAATTTTTTGTTCAATAATGTTTAGACACATTTCCGTACACCATCAGTTACTCACGTAATAATCGTTGGTCTGAAAGGAAGTCTCGCTTGCCAACACGAATTTGTCTCCTTTTGGCAGATCTTGTCAACTATCCAATTATCCAGCCTTTATCTTTTTAACATGAGTTTATTCAATATCACTCTTTAGTGTTTCCTTATATGGGTAAATCTTCTTCCCCACAACTTCACTTTCAACAAGCTTCAGATTTTGACTCAAACACTGCTTCAACCTGCTGGTATTTACCCATTTCCTGTCTTCTTATTTCTTTTCTTTGCCAGATTTCATGTTTTTCTATTAGAATTTGGTTATTTTCAATTATGGAAAGATCTAGCTTGGACCGATTATTGTATGAATCTGAAATATGTAGCTTACTTTCCTCTTTTTTTTGTGAAGAATGAAATAAAGCTGAAGCTATGAAGATGGTTTGTAAAGATTGTTGCTTCATGGAGAGGCCATCTAGGGTTATCTGGTTCTCTTTTTTGTTGTTTCTTTTACTGCAAATTGAAGGTTCTTTACCAGCTTCCAATTATTTGATTGGCCTTGGAAGCTATGACATAACGGGGCCTGCTGCTGATGTTAACATGATGGGTTATGCAAATATGGAACAAATCGCATCCGGCATTCATTTTAGATTGCGTGCTAGAGCCTTTATCGTTGCCGAACCTCAGGGGAACCGTGTTGTGTTTGTGAATCTTGATGCCTGTATGGCCTCACAAATTGTTACAATTAAAGTACTTGAGAGATTAAAAGCAAGGTACACCCCTGAACTTTTATGATGCTTTTAGGATTAAGCAGGTTTTAAGCCTATTTTTCAATTATAATGCTTTACTTTGTTTAGGTATGGTGAGCTTTACACAGAGAAGAATGTTGCCATCAGTGGCATTCATACTCATGCTGGCCCTGGTGGATATCTTCAATATGTTGTGTATATCGTAACTTCTCTTGGATTTGTAAGAGAGTCCTTTAATGTTATTGTCGACGGGATAGAGAAAAGCATTGTACAAGCTCATGAAAATCTCCGCCCAGGTTCTATTCTGATAAACAATGGTGAGAAAGTTTACTTATAGTCATTACATATTTACTTTTTTAAGCTGATATGAATATTTAGGCACACAATGGTGGTACAGGGGAACTCTTGGATGCTGGTATAAATCGTAGTCCAAGCGCTTATCTGAATAATCCAGCCGATGAACGAAGTAAATATAAGTATAACGTTGATAAAGAAATGACACTGATTAAGTTCGTTGACGAGGAGTGGGGTCCCACAGGCAGCTTTAACTGGTTTGCTACCCATGGAACTTCTATGAGTCGTACAAACTCATTGATTAGTGGTGACAACAAAGGTGCTGCAGCACGATTTATGGAAGATTGGTTCAAACAGACAGGTTTTATGACATATTCTGATAGCCTCTCTGTCAACAAATCCACCAGTGATAGAATCCCTCGAAGAGTTTCAAGCATCATTCCTAACTTTGGTGACAAACGTAGGTGAATCTCACTTTTAAGTTGTATAGAGAATTATTGTTTTAAGTCTAGGAAGCTTGATCAAGTTAGCTAGTTAGCAGTTATCCTTTTGCCATACTATATCCTTCCATGCTTACAAGGAATACAACAAGCTTTAATTTATAGAACTTGATGATGGAATCCAATTCTATGAGCAAAGCTGATGTCGCATTTTCTCTTTCAGATCTGCTATTTTTGTGTTGTTTTCAAACCTTATGTTGACTTGGTAAATGTGCCTACCAGACTTAAATCTAGGACCAAGTAAACTTATTTAGAAGCACCAGTAGTAGAGATAGCAATTATACACAATGTTCATGAGAAAAGTACAATGGTGCACATCATTTGTTATTCCTAAGAACATATAGCACTTGCTGCATTTAATTCAAACAGGTAAGGAGTTTATGGAACTTGCTGCTTCGTTCAAATCTTCTCAAGGGCGACCTGCTACTAGACTTCTGAGTGTTGCAAAACGAGTTAGGAATTCCTTAAGGCAGGCAGATAGACCCCAGTTTGTATCAGCATTCTGTCAATCAAATTGTGGTGATGTCAGCCCAAACACGCTTGGTGCATTTTGCATAGACACTGGACTGCCATGCGATTTCAATCATAGTACCTGCAATGGGAAGAATGAACTGTGTTATGGCAGGGGCCCGGGGTATGCTGTTTACATGTCACACATTCACTTTTGCCTCCTTTATCACCTTTTTTGTATGTATGCCTGGTTAATTTAAATATGGCATACTGATGGAACCATGTCAACATTTGCTGGCAGCTACCCTGATGAATTTGAAAGTACTGAGATCATCGGGAAAAGGCAATTCAAAAAGGCGGTTGAACTTTTTAATAATGCAACCGAAAAGTTGAAAGGAAAGGTCAGGTATCAGCACGGCTTTCTAGATTTCTCTAACCTTGAAGTTTCAGTTCCTAAAGTGGGAGGTGGGAGTGAGGTGGTGAAAACATGCCCTGCAGCTATGGGGTTTGCTTTTGCTGCTGGAACAACTGACGGTCCCGGAGCTTTTGATTTTACACAAGGAGATGATCAGGTAAGAGAACCAACGCTGCAGACTTGGCACGTTTTTCATAGTGCCATGTAAGGATGGAATAGCTAAATTTGTGAAGTGATCCTATTACTATGTTTCCTTTCAGGGGAATGCCTTCTGGAGATTGGTAAGGAACGTGCTGAAAACGCCAAGTGAGGAACAGATCAATTGTCAGAAACCAAAGCCTATTTTGCTTGATACCGGTGAAATGAAACGACCGTATGACTGGGCAGTAAGTGTTTAGTTTGAGTTCACTTAATGTATGTGGTGTAAAAGCGTTAGAATATTCTGTTTCAGACTGGAATGCAAATTTGTACAGCACATGACCATGGAGCCTCATTTTGCTTTCAAAATGATAAACAAAGTCTTCAGCTATTCATGATTGTGATGCACGTTTAGGATTCATATGATACTCCAAGTATCTTATAGTTAGATCTTTTGGACATGCTGAACTTGGTAAAAAAAATTATTATTTCAATCTCGAAAGTGTGACTAAAAATGGCTGATTTTCGTAAAACCTTGATTTCAGAGCTGTTAATAAAGATGCACAAACTGCAAGTACTAGGTTAAATTCTAGGGACAAGAATTTGGGAATATTTTAACTTTATCCTCATATTGAATGATTCATGCAGCCCTCTATACTTCCGGTTCAAATTTTGCAGATAGGGAAGCTTGTCATTCTCAGTGTACCTGCAGGTAGAAGTAATCTTCTTTAATAATAATAGTAATTATTTTTATTATCACTCTCTCACTATCCATTTTAGAGGTTGCTTCTGTTCATGGCTACTATTTTCCTAATGCTATAATTTGTTGCAGAGTTCACAACCATGGCTGGCAGGCTCCTCCGAGATGCTGTTAAGACAGTGCTTACTACGGGACGCAACTGGCAATTTGACAGCAATGTCCATGTTGTCATTGCAGGGTTGACAAATACTTATTCCCAATATGTTTCCACTTTTGAGGAGTATCAAGTGCAGAGATATGAGGTTCGTGTTGCGCCTTTTCTCATTATCGTTTCTTTTGTAACACTAGTTTCGGCTTGTTTATTGGGTCAGTTTGTTATATCGTTACGGTGCATTTGTTATAGGCTATATCTTTGGTCTGTTAATATTATTATTGTTGTTAGGGAGCCTCTACTCTGTATGGACCAAACACGCTTAATGCATACATACAAGAGTTCAAGAAACTTGCAGAGGCTCTTATCAGTGGCGGATCTTTTGAAGCAGGGCCACAGCCACCAGATCTTCTCGATAAGCAGATTAGCTTATTAACACCGGTTGTCCTCGATGCAACCCCCCTTGGTGTGAATTTCGGAGATGTTAAAGCTGATGTCTCTAATTCCACCTTCAAGCGGGGTGATATGGTCTCAGTCACCTTCTGGTCTGCTTGTCCTAGGAATGACCTCATGACGGAGGGCACATTCTCATTGGTTGAACTTCTTCAAGATCAAAATACATGGATCCCGACATACGACGACGACGATTTTTGCTTAAGGTTTAAGTGGTCAAGGCCTGCAAAACTAAGTCCTCAGAGTTATGCAACCATAGAGTGGAGGATCCCAAAATCAGTGGTCACTGGTGTTTATAGGATAAGCCATTTTGGTGCTTCGAAATCGCTTTTTGGTTCAATTCGCCATTTTACAGGTACTTCAAGTGCCTTTGTAGTGGAATAGCAAAGGGGGAGATATTGTATAAGGCTTCCATATATACATTTAGTGGCACATTGTGGTATAGGATACATTTATATATGTGTCTAAGGCAGATATGGTGTAAGAATAAAGGAATTGTTTAGTTGTATTATGTGCAATAACACAGCCAGATATGGGTTATTTAGCCATCCTTACATTAAAGTAAAATCCGAGTTTGAATAAAAGTCATTCTTGGATTTTCTTTTTAATAGTATTACAAGGTTTGTTCAGAATCTTTTTTAGTTATTGACAGCATACATACACTATGAAGACACAACCACTCAAATCCGGGACCATTAAGAAGAATAACACTCTTTTACCACTAATGGGTTTGGCATTCTTGGATTTAAGTTTAGCTGATTTGGGATATCAACTTTAAAGCTGAATTTTTTTGACAAATACTTTGAACCACGTTTACAATAGTTGAAAAACAGATATTTAGATTTATATTCATTCGATAGCAACCCAAAAACCTAACAATTGATGATCATTAAACCACGAAACGTACATTTTCCCCCATGCAAATGGCATTGACACTTCAATCCTGGAATCATTCTTAATTCTTACGTTACGCCTCCTCTTCTGCTCGCCCCTTATTAGCTTCTTCCACTCCTTAAGAAAAAAAAGAAAGAGAATCCCTTGAAACTATCATATAGCCATGAAGACTGTGCTACCATGGACCACGATTTGGATCGTGATCTCATGGTACGGTTCGAACATTGGGGTCCTCCTTTTAAACAAGTACTTGCTCAGCAACTGCGGGTTCAAGTACCCCATTTTCTTGACCATGTGTCACATGCTTGCCAGCTCTTTGCTAAGCTACGTAGCCATAGCATGGCTCAAGGTGGTTCCCATGCAAACCATCAGCTCCATCAAGCAGTTCGTCAAAATCGCAGTGTTGAGCTTGGTTTTCTGCTTTTCAGTTGTTCTCGGAAACGTCTCGTTACGGTATCTCCCCGTGTCGTTTAACCAGGCCATTGGTGCCACGACGCCCTTTTTCACAGCGGTTTTCGCGTATCTTATGATGAAGAAGATGGAGAGTTGGGTTACATACGCGACACTCATACCTGTGGTTGCTGGAGTCGTCATTGCTAGTGGGGTAACAATTTCCTAACTTTACTGGTGTTTTAGACGGACGAAACTACCTTAGAAATGGGGGAGACAATTTCTCCTAATTTTGATGGTTTAATTAATTCTAAGATATTAATATTTTTGAAATCATCTTGTTCCCTTGAAATTTATTGGTTTAATTATATTATAAGATCATTTCAGTTTTAAAATCAAATTTTAACTTCTAATTTTTGGATGATCAAACTCGACTCACATCATTTTACACATGGGTTGATTTTGGATTTCATTCTTTTTTATTATTTATTTTAAATTGTAATTTTTCAAGTTAGGTCATTTAAAATTAGGATTATTCTAGAATTTTTTAGTTATTTCGGTTATTTGTTTGATCATTTTAAGTTTAAATTATTTATTTTTGTTATATCCCGGAGATTGCCTCCGAAAAACTATCAATCTCTCCAATCAAACACTTTCGAATAAGCCCTTTCGTTTACCAAAGCCTTTGAAGAAGCCTACATTATTTGAGTCAGTTACAGTGCATGATATACCTACATGGTGTACTAAGACGAAATTCAAGAATTTGACTATCATATCTATTTATCTTATTTATCTTGGAGACGAGTAGTCATGATGACTCTATACCTAGCTCCTTCAACTAAGACCACTATAGATACACCTTAATCACAAATGAGGAAGTCATCCCCTCTCCTTTTCCTTCTCCTTTGACTACTATATTTTTCATTATACTTTCATTTTTAGCATCGAGAAACACCAGTCAATGATAATTTCCTCACCAGTCATGATTCTCGGCTCGAACGATAAGGGTGAATCGCCAATTACCTATGAGATAAACTTGTTTCTATCCTCAATTTTTATGGTCAAAAATCAGAGTAGACAGGGTTTAAGTTAGGATTGTTAATCAAGTTTTGTAATCAGATCAAAGTTGTGGGGTGTGGGGTCAGAATCTGTAGTAATTTGTGAATAAAATTTCTCATAATGGTGTTTGTGTTGTAGGCTGAACCAAGTTTCCATGTTTTCGGATTCATAATGTGTGTTTCAGCAACTGCTGCAAGGGCGTCTAAGTCTGTGCTTCAGGCTATTTTGCTGTCATCAGAAGAGTGAGCTGCAAAACCTTCAAAAGTGGATTATGAATCTAGAAAATTTAACCAAATACTGTTGTATATATTGATTATTACAGGGAAAACCTAAACTCAATGAATTTGCTTATGTACATGGCACCAATAGCAGTGGCGATATTGCTTCCAGCCACAGTGTTGATGGAGAGAAATGTGATTGGGGTAACAGTGGATCTTGCAAGAAAAGATATGAGAATAATATATTACCTGATTTTCAATTCTTCGCTTGCGTATTTGGTGAACTTGACCAACTTTTTGGTCACTAAACATACAAGTGCATTGACTCTCCAGGTACGTACGGATTATGAGAATTTCATTTCAAAACTTTTTGAATGGGGGAATTAGTTAATTGAAAATCTTGCAGGTGCTGGGAAATGCAAAAGGCGCTGTTGCTGTGGTGGTCTCCATTATCATATTCAAGAACCCCGTTTCATTTATGGGGATGTTGGGTTACTCCTTAACAGTTCTTGGAGTTTTTCTTTATAGTGAATCCAAGAAGGGAAATAAATGATTTCTTCTTACCCTTTTATGGGGCATCCGCTTCGATGTATGTGTTCGTGAGAGTAACCACGTGCTATCTTGAAATCCAAATTCTTTTATGTTGTCTATTTTATTGATGATGTTCATCTTAAAATAATTTATATTATTAATACATATATATTTATCCTAAAACAATATTTCTTGATCCACCATCACTTACTTTCTATAAAACTCATTTATGTTCATTTGTTATGGTCGGGGTTCGCTCAATAAAAATATGGGTGAAGTATATAAATGATCTCCCGATTATATGACATTATTTTATTGAGTTCTCGACTATTAAAAGTTATAGAATGATCCTCTGACAATGTGACGTTGTTCTGTTGAGTCCCTCAACTATTAAAAGTTACAAAATGATCACCTAACCATTCATATATTGCAAACTTGTCCTTTTTGGATAAAAAATTGACTATCATTTGAGCTGTACGTTAACATGTTGACTGAGATACGATAGTCGTCTGATATTTTATGATCAAATTTTAACCTATCTCAATCAACAGGTTACCTTTCAACTCAAATTGTCTTAATTTTTTTAACGAAAAGGACAAGTTGTAAACATATAAATAGTTCGGTGACCATTTTATAAATTTTAATAGTCGAGGGACTCAACAAAATGATACCCTTCAATCGAAAAATCATTTTATAACTTTTAATAGTCGGAGAACTTAATAAAACAACACCCTATAATCGATAGATTATTTTTGTAATTTACCCTTCAAATATTCTGTTAAAATTTGATTTTCTCATTGTTTTTTCAGTCTAACAATAGTTCTGATCCCACTACTACTATGAGAGTTAAAATTAGAGAAAATCGCCTCAGTGACCAAAAATGCCTTATAATATACGATTTTAACCAACTTTTTTTGGATTTGCGAAAATGACCAACAAAATCGCAACGCGAAATAAAAATCGCAACGCGATTTAGAAAATCGCAACGTTGAAAAGAAAATCGCAACGGTCAAAAGAAAATCGCAACGCGATATTCCAAGAATCGCAATGCGATTAAGAGAATCGCAACGCGATCTTCCAAGAATCGCAACGCGATTCAGAAAATCGCAACGCGATTCCAAGAATCGCAACGCGATTCAGAAAATCGCAACGCGATTCAGAAAATCGCAACGCGATTAAGAAAATCGCAACGCGATTCCAAGAATCGCAACGCGATTCAGAAAATGAGTAAATTCTTTCAAAAGCTATTGTATTTGTTTCTTTCTTAAGAATTTTCTCTAAAAAGATAGTATCCGCGCGGACGTGTCGAAGACACTATTACCACGACCACGACCACGACCACGACCACGACCACGACCACGACCACGACCACGACCACGACCACGACCACGACCACGACCACGACCACGACCACGACCCGAGACGAGACGAGACGGCGGCGGCGCGCGCGAGTCCCCCTTGTTCTCTTTCACTCAACAAGGAAATGGGAAATCCAAGCCTTAAATACTCTTCCCAATAGTGTTTCCAATACTATGTGGGATTGAGCATTACTCAACACTTCAAAGAAAATATAGCAATTTTTGTAGCATGTTTCCCGCTTAATCCATATTTAAAAATATTAAAACATTTTATCATATTAAAACTATATGTATAAGTTTGAATTGAAATGTAGATATCTACAACTCTTTTAATTCTCTTGATAAAATGTTTTAATATTTTTAGATATGGATTAAGCGGGAAAATACTACAAAAATTGCTATATTTTCTTTGAAGTGTTGAGTAATGCTCAATCCCACATAGTATTGGAAACACTATTGGGAAGTGTATTTAAGGCTTGGATTTCCCATTTCCTTGTTGAGTGAAAGAGAACAAGGGGGACTCTCGCGCGCCGCCGCCGCCGTCTCGTCTCGTCTCGGGTCGTGGTCGTGGTCGTGGTCGTGGTCGTGGTCGTGGTCGTGGTCGTGGTCGTGGTCGTGGTCGTACGTGTCTTCGACACGTCCGCGCGGATACTATCTTTTTAGAGAAAATTCTTAAGAAAGAAACAAATACAATAGCTTTTGAAAGAATTTACTCATTTTCTTAATCGCGTTGCGATTTTCTTAATCGCGTTGCGATTTTCTTAATCGCGTTGCGATTCTTGGAATCGCGTTGCGATTTTCTTAATCGCGTTGCGATTCTTGGAATCGCGTTGCGATTCTTGGAATCGCGTTGCGATTTTCTTAATCGCGTTGCGATTCTTGGAATCGCGTTGCGATTTTCTTAATCGCGTTGCGATTTTCTGAATCGCGTTGCGATTTTCTTAATCGCGTTGCGATTTTCTTAATCGCGTTGCGATTTTCTGAATCGCGTTGCGATTCTTGGAATCGCGTTGCGATTTTCTTAATCGCGTTGCGATTCTTGGAAGATCGCGTTGCGATTCTCTTAATCGCATTGCGATTCTTGGAATATCGCGTTGCGATTTTCTTTTGACCGTTGCGATTTTCTTTTCAACGTTGCGATTTTCTAAATCGCGTTGCGATTTTTATTTCGCGTTGCGATTTTGTTGGTCATTTTCGCAAATCCAAAAAAAGTTGGTTAAAATCGTATATTATAACTTTTTTTTGGTCACTGAGGCGATTTTCTCTTAAAATTATTACATCCTCTACTTGTATAGTCTTATTAATGGATTTAAATGAATTTCATCATTAATTGCTGCCATATGAACTATTTTATTATTTCGGAATATTAAAAAATTATAAAAGTAGAATAGTTAAATTATGCCAAATCAAAGTAAAGAGATTGAATTTCAAATTTCAGCATATGAAAAGGTCTAAAACCATAATTAAACCTTATTACCATTACATGTAACTTATTTGTGTATAACCTATATGATGAAGGGGCATGAAAACTACAATGTTACTTTTCCAATGTTAAATTTCGACTTGAAACTGTGTAATGAATGTAAATAAGAGGCAATGCAACAACCTCGAGCCAAAGATGTCCGTTCAAACCATCTAAAATCTGACATGCATCATTTCAACTTGCCCAATATATCAAAATGAATGTTTCTTCTCATGCTGTTTTTCCTTTACGTCTGTTTTCAGTTTTAGGGGTGCTGACCTCAGCACTTGCTGTGGCTGGAGAAGAATCCATCAAACTGGAAGCGATCGCAGCCCTCAAGTCTTCATCTTCCATATCTGAAAGCAGTTGTAGATTTGTCTCGGAAAATGAAGGCAGCTGCTCGGGATGTTGTCGAATCATATTGTTTCTTTGAGGAGGAGGCTGTGTTATGATGCACGATTTGGTTATGCTCTCAGCATCCTCTGGGGACAGCCACTGCCCGTAACCGTTAGAAGCTTCAGAGGAAGAAATAGAGCACTCTTTAGGGAAGTTTCCCCTCACCAGGAAAATGCTCCACCCTGATCCTTTTAACGAGTCCAGATAGGCTGAGAGATAGAAGTTTGAGAAGTGCTGCGGCGCAGCATTAAGACTGTCAAAATTTTACCACTCTCCATCGACTTTCTGGATGCAAAACCAATGGTCGTGCAGATGACAAATGAAAGCGTTTTCCAGCTCAGGGTCGATCTGGGCAGCCTCGGCAACTGGGCAGTTAAGGGGAATAACTTGCAAATCCCAAACTTCTAAAGCTTTTTGCAAAACCTATGGAAAAAGTTTTCCAGAGTAGATATCATCAGACAATGCCATAGATATCATCACATATACATGTACTAGTTTGAACAACCAACAGGAAACATAATGATTCCTTTTGATACTAAATAGGAGACAGAAAAGGAAAGCATAAGCAACGGCAATAAGATACCTTAACTGAGTTATATGTGCGAAATCATGGTCATCCTGCATATAAGATTATTGAATAGAAAATCATGTTTGGGCACACACACGAAAGGCCACTGAACCATCTTGATTTATAAAGCGAAGAACGAAGCAAAACAATGCCAATGACTAATATTCTAACGTGAGCAACGTTCCCACCTAACTTCCCAGGCCTCCTTATTAGGAAAGAACTCAATAGCATTTTTAATTTAACCTTGCTTATGTTATTCTCAAGATATCTATAAATGGAATAATAAGTCCCAACACTTGATATATTCACATATTGGATGCATATTTAAGGGCAATGGAGATGCAAGAGTTTGACTGCATCAATTATATTTTTTTCCTTTATCCAATCGCATATATACATGACAAAGCATTTATATATATTTTTTATAGAACACAGAGCATTTATATGTAGAAACCAACTGTGGATTTCAATAACCACCTAAGATTGATCATACCACAGAAGGATAAAGAAATTTCAAGATGAAAACCTTATCCAGAGAAGGGACTTAACCATGGCCAGAGAGCCTAAGCCCCCCAAAAGCATTTGAAAATTTCCATTAAGGCCTTCAAAGCTTTTGAAAACAATTCATTTAGGCCGCCAATTTTTTTTAAAAAAAAATTCATTAATATATATGTATATGTATTTATATATTAAATTATATTAAATTTCCACCTTCAAAATAATTTATTATTTATCTATGACTTAAGTTCATGCATTATAATTAATAATTAAAAATACATTATTATTTTATCTTTTCATTTTACTGCCAGTATTCAGGAACTCTTCAAATTAATTGGTTTATCTTAAAATACAAGTCAAAATCATCCAAACTTAAACTAATTTTCTAAGTATTAGTTTTCTCACCTAGTCTCCAACCAATAGTGTTGAAAAATCATTTTTTCCCCTACTTTTGTTGTCATTATATCCTTGTACTGGTTTCTTCTATTTCTGTTTCCAAATTCAAAATTTTAATTGGTGATTGATATTGGTGGATAATTCGTTTTGCTTTCTATTATTATTGTTTCTTGTCCCTAAACATGTTTAATAAGTTTTAATGCATTTTTCCTCTTTTTTATAGTTTAAATTATGGCAGATGGTGTTTTATTCTTTTTCTTAAAATGATTATTTGCTAATTTATCATTAAAAATGTGCAAGTTCAAAAAAGTTGAATTTCTTGCAAATAACACGATCGTCAATATTAAAAGAAAGATCCTATTTTTTATTATTTTATTTATTATTGATAAGATTTATGGTTATATAAGTTATTTTTATTAGTATAGTACTGCCTATATGTTTTAATATTGGTAAAATATTATAAGATATCTTAGTTAAAGTATATATTAATAAGTTAAATAAACAAGTATATACAAACAAATATATCATGCATAATAAACTAACAAATCTATATAACTTGCTTTAATACATTCCCTCCATAT